CCCCCCAAAGGCCTCAGTCGTCACAAAGCAATAACAGCAGAGAATAGCCGGAAAGCTCGAACACTGTTTGGGTTCTGGGTGTGTTTTGTTTTGTTTTGCCTTCACTTTAAACAGCCGGAACCTGCTTCAGGCTAAAATTAGTGAAGAATTGTTCTCTGTGAGGTTGAAGGTTTAAATGAATAACCCAGCAACACTTTATGTGGAGACGCATTATGGGATGGATGCAGTAGATAGTATGACTACTCACGATGTGAAAGTCAGGATAGTTTTTATTAATCTCTGTTGCACATATTTATCTAGTGTTTATAAAATGTAGATTTTCCACCTGATTCCATGAATATTTTTAAGCTCTTTCAACCAATAAGAACTGCTCCTACTGCATTTGTCACCAAAGAACAGCAAAGACAGTTTTTCCTCAACAAACATTCTTCTTGACAAATACTGTTAATGGTTAATTAATGATGTTAATTAATGATGTTAATTAATGATGGCATTTTCCTTGAGTCATGTTTATCATCTCATATTTATCACCTTTACTGCTAATTCTGCTTTGTATCAGTGTACTCATGGCTGTGGCAAGGTGTTGAGATTCACTTCCAACAAGGAAGGACCATTATAATCAAAACATGGCTGTTATTTTTTATCTGTAGCCATTTTTATTTGGTGGGATGGCTTTGATCTGGGCTGTTTAAAGTACAACTGACCTGTTCCACAGTGAGCGGTGTGGAGATCTCCTCGCCCCTGAGGATCATGGACCGGTGCGTCAGGACCTCGGCAACCTGATCCGAGTTCAGCCCCAAGAGTTCAGATGTCCAGCTGAGTGCTGCCAACAAATGAAACACACCGTTAACGACTTTGGACGTAAAATGTCATTTTAAGTGGAGGAAACCAGATTTTACACATCGTGTTTATTTAACTGGTCCTCATTCACACCATCACTGTCGTCAGCATCCTTTCCATTTGGCTTTTGACCTTGAAATGCATTAGCCAAAGGTGAAGTCACGGTGAAAGCAGATGGAAGTTTAAAACAGTCAGAAATTAAAGTTTTAACATGCTGAGACAATGTTAATTATGGCTTAGATCACAGGTGTCGAACTCCAGGCCTCAAGGGCCGGTGTCCTGCAGGTTTTAGATGTTTCCTTGATCCAGCACAGCTGATCTAAATGGCTAAATGACCTCCTCAACAGGTCTTGAAGTTCTCCAGATTCCTGCTAATGAACTGATCACTTGATTCAGGCATGCTGACCCAGGGTGATATCTAAAACCTGCAGGACACCGGCCCTCGAGGCCTGGAGTTCGACACCCCTGGCTTAGATCCTGGGTTTGTTTGTGCCCTGAAGTCTGAAGATTTTACTCTGAATGAAAAGTGAAACCAAACTAATGACAAGCTGTGAAAGTATTTAGTTCTAATCTTCCCAAACAAACACTTTAAACATTTTGTTTGTGAGTAAAACAAAAAAATTCCCAGTTCTTTGTTTCAGACGTGGTTACGTTTAATCATGAGAACTACTTTGTTGACAACAGTGCCAGACTTATGTGTTTGCAGGACCATAATTAGCTCGCCAACGTTCATTGTAACCATATGAAGAAAAATGTGTGGAGGGGAAGGGTAAACTACCTGATTTGGAGGAAATCTGAGCCCCTCCGGCCGTCACAAACTCAATGTTTCCCGTGTGGAGGATCCCAGCCAGGAGACGCAGGATCTCGTTGATGTTCTCCTCTGTGAATTGCATCGTTCGCATGGCGTTCTGGGAACCGCAAACGCACGAGGAGAAAAGAACGGATGAAAACCTCAGGTCGCCTCATGTTTAAATTCTCACCAGCTGATTTTGTTTCTTTTGGGTGGAAGTTGCTGTTAGACACAATCCGTCCTGAGAAGCTGTAAAGACTTTAGGGCGTTCTTTGAGGTTTGGACTGATTTAAAGCCATAAGTCTGATGCTTTGGTTTGGCAGCAGTAATTTCAGCTTCCAGTCACCAGGATCAAACGTTTCTTACTCTGACTTGTGATTATGAATCATGAGTACCATACAGAAATATCATTTATGTCAAACTATGAGGGAAAAATATGAGCAGTCTGTGCAGTCTAAATGTTTGCCACATTTTAAATTTGACCAAAACCAAATGTTTTGGAACACAGCACACACAGTAAAGTGCAAATAACTGTTACTTTTAGCCTTAAATCAGTAAATGCAACATAATCACGCGCACCAGAACATCCTGAAAAGTGCCCTTGTCGATGATTGTCTTGTCGTCCTGGCAGCTGGACTGTCTCAGGTAGTGATAGCTGTCAGGATGGGTCAACCCGAACGCCTCTGCAGACACACAAACACACAAATTACAACATCTACGACACGTTTGAACCACGTTAGCTTTCTGCTCTTTCTGTGCCTGACGTCTGTTTGCACCGACTCATAACTTCATCTCTGTTAACCTTCCTACTTAAATGCTTATTAAATGAAATGATGGTGTTTTCCCCTCATTCACCTCTCTGCTGGTTGTTGGTTCCTGCTAATATGGCGTAGAAAATGTGGTAGTTTCTCTCCCCTGGGTTCTGCCTGACCACTCGGTTCTGCAGAGGAAGAGGAGAGTTAATATACATCTTCACATCAAAACTAATGCTAATTTTCAGATTTGACCAAACACACAGAACAGCGGCCTTAGTTTGTTTAAACTTCTACAACTGAACCCAAAGATGGTGTGCTTTTACAAGAAGATGATAAAAAGCTCCATGGAGCTGCTTGCACCTCGCTTCTTTACAAACATATTTCACAAAGTGAAAATGTGAAGTGAAACCTATCTGTTTAAACTCGCTTTTGGTTGATTTTGTTTTATTTTAGATTTTAATGTCTGTTTTCTGCCTCTGTAAAGCACTTTGTGATTTTATCTCGAAAGGTGCTATATAAATACAATTTTATTTATTATTTATTATTAAAACCAGCAGCCTCCAGCACTCCTGGAGGAAGGAAGAAGAACACTCACCTTTTCTAAGAGGTCTGCAGCCACAAAAGTGTCAAGTGTCAAGGCACAAAACAGTCAGAAAAAGCCTGAACGCACAAAACTGCAAACAGAATTCTGCAGAAATGTTCAAATAGGACAACTTAAGCAAAGACCAGCATTAACATGTATTAAAAATTTGATCAATTCTGTGTTTACCAGCTAGTTAAACGTGGCATGAATTGCACATAAACACATAAATAAAGATGAAGGAATAACAGCATCAAACAAACAGTCAAATCAGTTTTATTCTAAATTCTAAAAAGTGGTTATTATGACTAATTTACATACTCTTTGTAATCCATGTTACAATCCTCCTAATGAAGGATTTGTGCTAATAAATGAGCAGGAAGCTGTGGCTCTCTCCTGCTTGCTGTATTTTTACCCTTGACAGCAGTTTTGCTAACCCCTTACAGCACGGCCTCCTTTTGTGCTAAGCCTGCGCAGGAAATGAGCAGGGAAAGGAAGCGTAGGCCACTTAACATCAGGTTGGTTTTAAAGGATACAGTCGACAATCTTGCCTCCCTGGATGTTGCCTTTCTGGCTGACATGCAGCTGGACGAACTTCCCAAATCGGCTGGAGTTGTTGTTGTACACCGTCTTGGCGTTCCCGAAGGCCTCCATGATGGGACTTTAGAGTGAAGAAAGGACGTGATCATTAACCAGGAAAGCAATTGAGCCATTACCCCATAGAACTATGGAGTTCATTTGTAATGATAGGTGTAACTTACCTGCTCTCCAGCAGCGCCTCCTCCACATGTGATGTCTTGTCTCGGGATGAAACTTCCAGCGAGTGTTGGCTCATAGCCGACAGGAACTTCAGGATCAGTTTGGTGCTTTCTGTTTTACCAGCGCCGCTCTCTCCACTGTCGGAAAGAAAAATAAACACAATCATGAAGATGCCTCAGAAATGAAGCAGTGATGTCATAAGAAGATTCATTTAATGGATTTCTTTAGCAGGTTTCAAATCACACTTATAGTTTTGTTTATATGTTAAATTGAATATTAGCGTTCCACACAGCTCATGGCATTGAGATGTTCTGGGGAAATATTCAAAACCCAACCACTAGATGGCGCACTGGGCACTGCTAACTGACTTAGGATCCCTGGCTCATGTATTGAAACTGGTGAATGAATCAAATCACAGGTGAAAGTCAATATCATAAAAATAAGAAGTGAATAAACAGAACATAAAAGCCACTGGAGGCATGAAAAACCTGATTCATGTGGGAAACAAAACAGCAAAAATGAGTAACTAATAGTTAAGAATGGCTCCTTTTGCTTTTTCTAGCCCCACATTTTTATTCATACACTCTACTAGAGCAGCTTTGGATGATTAACGAGCATCAAACAGAACAGCAGGTGGGTTTGACCTCTCTGCTCAAACACAGAACTGTGTGC